TAGAGATTGCTGCCTTAAGTCCCTCTTGACAGTTGTGCTGGGACTGCTGGGACTCTTTAGCACCAGCATGCCACTAGCCTCTTCCTGCAACCCAGCTGTTCTTTACATGTGGTTGTGCCTAAGGGTGGGTGCCTTGCTTAATGCAGGTGTGCAGTTGGCGCCCAGATACAGAAGAAAGAACAGAAACCACTCCCTGTTGCACGGGATGGTGGGATGCTAGTGTGCATCTCAGCCTGTCTCTGGGTGTTCTCTAGACCATATGTGCTGTCAGGGGAGCCCCTGGCGAGCTGCCCCCTTCAGAGTTTCTCTTGTTACATCCTTACAAATTTTTAAAAAGATTTTATTTATTTATTAGTGAGAGAGAGAGCACGAGAGCAGGGTGAGGGCAGAGGGAGAAGCAGACTTACCTAGGGAAGCCTCATTATTCCACGTGGTCTTGGTAATATTCCTTCCCATCTCCTCTCAGTCTGGAATCCACCAGTTATTCCCTTTGCCTCCTATGGCAAAGTTATTTATCTTTTGAGCTTCTGAGGAAATTCATCTGTAAAATGGGATAGCAGTAGTACCGACTTTATTGACTTCTTAGGTGCTCGTATGAAGCAATGTACATGCAGCGCTCACCAGAGTGCCTGCTGAGAGGGAGCACACAGCATTGGTAGCAGATTCTGCTCTATTTGAGCACCCCTGTTCATCTGACTTACTCTTTTTTTTTTTCGAAGACTTTATTTATTTGACAGAGAGACACAGTCAGAGAGGGAACACAAGCAGGGGCAGTGGGAGAGGGAGAAGCAGGCTTCCTGCTGAGCAGGGAGCCCGACATGGGGCTCGATTCCAGGACCCTGGGATCATGGCTTGAGCTGAAGGCAGACGCTTAACGACTGAGCCACCCAGGTGCCCCTCATCAAACTCATTCTTTTCATCCTGTAGACATCACTGAGTCTCTCTTGTCCTCAAAATACACTCACATTCCTCCACTCACTGTTTTTACCCCAGCAACTAGCTTCTCATTCGTTTCACCCGCAAGCATATTCAAAGTGCCGTCTCACAATGTGGACTAGCAGAAGCCAGACACAAAAGGCAATGTGCAATTCCATTTACATGAAGTTAAGGAACAGCCTTCCTTTCCTTAACAGAAGTTAAGGAAAACTGCAAGGACAGAAGTCAGACACAGTTACCTAATAGGTGAAGTAGTGGTGGTTTTGACTGAGAAACACTCCGTAGGGTGGAGGCCAGAAAGATTTTCTGTTTTGATCGAGGGGGTGGTCACACAGCTACATACATGTATAAAAGTTCATCAGGCTGCAGCCTTGAAAAATGAGCACATCTATCTAAACAAAAAGAGCTCGGGCACCACCCTTCACCACCTGTCCCTTTTGTGGCTCAATGCTGTCACTCACCACCCTCGTCTTGGTCACCGAATGTTTCCACACATTTGAATCATTATTACTCTTGACCTCCCGACAGAACTGAACACAGGTAATCACATCTTCCTTTATGAAACTCCCTTCTTGGACCTAGAAACCACTCTTCCTCCTGGTGACTCTGCGTCTGGCTCCCCCTTAGTTTCCTTCAGCAACTTGTGTCAGGGAGCTCTTTGTGTAATTCTAGAATTTCATGCTGATTTGGCTCTGCTGGGTACAGGGTACTTATCCCACACAGCAGCGCAGAAACCCACAGACACCTCTTTATAACGCTGTGACTTCTACTCACATGGAGCAGTGATTATTACATAGTGAACTGGGACTAGACTGACTCAGGAATGGCAGCCTCAGTTGTAAGGTGGACATTTGGAGTTCTGTGCGGTAGTCGAAGGACATTGAAGTCTTACACAAATTCAGAAGTGTAGATTCTTCTGAAGACATAAGACCCACGTGGAGGGGCGCCTGGGTGGCTCAGTTGGTTTAGCGACTGCCTTCGGCTCAGGTCATGATCCTGGAGTCCTGGGATCAAGTCCCATATCAGGCTCCCTGCTCAGCAGGGAGTCTGCTTCTCCCTCTGACCCTACCCCCTCTCGTGTTCTCTCTCTCTCTCATTCTCTCTCTCTCTCAAATAAAAATAAAAAAATAAAAACCACAGTGAGAACTATTTTCATACCTATTGGCTTGGCAAAAAGTAGGAATCTGACAATTGCAAGATGTAGTAGGAAGTTTTATTTACTGTTAATAGAATAACCCCTTTTGAGAGAAATTTGCCCTTATCCTGTAAAGCTGAATTTATTCTATAATCCAGAAACTTATTTCTAGATATTTTCAGAGAAGCCCCCTTATACCTCAGAAGTTATTCCACCCTCATGAGCTCCTTCCTAGTCACAGCCCTCCTTCCTCCCTATCCTGACTTTTATGGTAGTCATGTATTTGCTTTCCTTTGTAGTGATTGCCACTGAGGTATACATCCTAAACAATATGGCCACATCCTGCTACTTTTTTAAATTTCTAAATTGGAATTAGAAAGTATTCTTTCATTTGCATCTTTGTTTGCTCAGCATTCACCTGCATTGTTGTGTGCAGCTGTAGTTTGGTTTTCATTGCTATACAATATTCCAGTGTGTGAATAAATTATTTGCCTCCCCACTGCTGATGGACATTTGGGGTGTTCCTAGTTTTTAGCTGTTATGAACAAGGCTTCAGTGATTACATTGATTTGATTTTGAAATGTTAAAGCAGCCTTTTGTTGCTGAGATAGACCAACTTGGTCATTGTATAGTATCCTTTTCATATGTTGATGAATCTAGTTTGTTAATATTTTGTTTAAGATTTTATGGCTATATTCCCAAGTGAGACTGATCTATAATTTTCCTTTCTTACAGCAGCCTTGTCAAATTTTGATATCAGGATGTTAGATTCATAATGTAAGCTGGGATTCTATTCTCATCCTATTATCTGAGGAGTTTGTGTAAGACTTGAATTCCTTGGGGTGGCTCAGTCCCTTAAGCGTCTGCTTTCGACTCAGGTCATGATCCCAGGGTCTTGGGATCAAGCCCCACTTCAGGCTCTCTGCTCAGTGGGGAGTCTGCTTCTCCCTCTCCCTCTGCCTGCCACGCCCCCTGCTCATGCACATGCATGCTCTCTCTGTGTCAAATAGAATCTTAAAAAGACTAGAATTCCTTCGATATCTTATGGAACTTACCAGTGTTTCTTTTGTGGGAAGATTTTTGACTATAGATTAAATTATTTTAATTGTTAAACTATTTAAGTTTTCTATTTCATCTTTGTCTAAAATTCGGTGTTATTGGCATAAAGTTGGTCATAATGTTCCTGTAACACCTTTTATTTTTTTATATTTTTATTTAAATTTTACTTAGTTAATATACATTGCAATATTGGTTTCTGGAGTAGAATTCAGTGATTCATCACTTAAATACAACACACAGTGCTCATCACAACAGGTGCCCTCCTTTTAACTTCACCCATCTAGCCCATCCGCCCCCACCTCTCTCCATCAACCCTCAGTTTGTTCTCTATCATTAACAGTGTCTTATGGTTCCTCTGTCCTCTCTCCTTTCCCCCCACCCTTCCCAATATGTTCATCTGTTTTCTTTCTTAAATTCCACATATGAATGAAATCATATGGTATTTGTATTCCTCTAACT